CTCTACTGCTGTCTCCAGTTCTTGCCTCGAGCTCCCAACTAGGACCTTTGTTTCCCCTCCATCCTATCTCCACTTCCTACCTCTAAAGCCGCACCTGGGCACCCATCATCCATCACCTTCGAACCGCTGTTTCCATTCCTCGGCACGGACCTTGACCAGTGCCCTTGTTTGCTTTTTCTATCCTGCCCCCAAACTCTGTCTTCATCCGGGAACCCACTAACCACCGCCTCCCCCTTCCCCCTCCCCGCCCCAAGCACTTCATCCAGCTGCCTAGGCCTGGCTAACGCTACTTACCGCCCAACGCTAAATGCCAAACAGTGTCGGCAAGCGGCTGCCTGACAATAGAATAAGCGGAGAAACGGGAGTGCTCGCAGTGACTGCCGGCCCGAGTTTTGGTAACTGCCAAAAATCGGGCAATCAGTAGAGACTGGTTCGACTCAGCGAGCTCGGTACGTGGGTTGCACTGACAGAGAGACCGGAATGGAAGACGAGGGCGGAGGAGGGGATGAGGGCCGCGGTGGTGCCTCAGGTCTGGTAGCGGAGAGGAGAAGCGCAGTTATTAGCTGCAAATGAGCTGAGGATCGACTTGGAAGCAGGAACTGGAAATAGGGGATGGTTTACGAGAAGTATCCCTATGAGTTTTTTGTATTCATCTTGAAACTTGATGTTAAGAGGAAATTAGCAATCTTATCCTCGACACCTGGAAACTTGCTCCGGCAAAAGGTCCCACCCCGCGATGCCGCGATTTTCGCAACTCGAGCCCGAACTGGAGGGGGATTGCGTATTGTGCGGATGAGCGGAGGTTTGGTAGTGGTCAGTTGGCTGGGCTTGGTTTGGCCCGGCTCGGTTCGGTTCGGCTCGGCTCGGCTCGGCTCGGCTCGGCTGAGCAGTATGCGCTCGCCTGCGGATCGATAAAGCATTCAACTGAAGCATAAATGCGTACAGTTTTCGGTTTTTTATTTCCATGGGTTTTCGGAGGAAAAAACCGAAGACGAGATAAGTTGCATGCTGCTGTCACAGTTTAGAAAAGACGGGAACACTGGCATGCTTGCGATGCGAGTTCAAGTCGGAAGCATAGCTGTTGCATGTTCAGTTGTGGTGTTCTTTTAGCTTTTTTGCTCGCAGCATTGCTATGTTTTCAGCCAGCTCAGCGAATCTCAGTTCATGTGCCTTTCAAGGAATCTGGTGCTGAGGATCAAACTTACCATCTTAAACTGAGCATCAAGTTTTTTGCTGAGCAACATAATCCCTCGGAAGTCCACTCCCTCATAGTCCCCGTCGCAGTTTTCACGCGAGATCTCAGCCCTTTTATTGTCCCACTCCTCTCTGACGACTGCCTCCACCTAAGCCACTATCCCTCTGAAGTTCAAGTTCAGTTTCGCTTTTAATCCCGGGAGGGGGGGGGGGGCATATCGTCAGAATCATAGCTGACATTCG